GTTGCTTTTATTAGATAAAGGACCAAAGTGGTGGATGGCTAGCACTAGCAGCTTTATTTCACTATTGGAATAAAAGTGTTCTAGTATGGTTTGCCTGTTGAATTAAAACACATAAAGATCTTTACTTAACATGATACAACTCCAAAATGGCAGCCACATAGAACTAGGCGGCCCAAAATGACGTTCAATATCAATGAGCCAAAGCTACAGAGAAAGACGTGGATAGTGACCCAAAATGACATTCAATATCAATCAAGAGATAGCTTTTGTTGCCGACCAAAAATGCATCCATGTGGATTGTGAAAGACGTGGAAATGCAAAGTTCAAACGGAGGCTCAGTTTTAAACCTCTGCTATGAAATTCCATTCCAGCTACAGAGAAATTTAAACTTACCTTCGAGCAGAATCATATTTCTCCAAGACCAGAGTCGGGACAAAGGGTATCAGTCATAACAGAAAACAATAAAATTGTGAATAAAGGGAATTGAAAAGCCTCCAAAGTGGTATTCCCCTTTTCTTTCGAGAAATATGCTGCAAAGATTTATACCGAGCTTTCTCCTCTTATCCAGAGAACCCACAATAAATTACTTGAACCAGGTACTAGTAAATTACACGAATATATGTTCGTTTAACCAGTAAGCAACACAAAATATTCAATAGCTTCACATGAAAAGGCCTGAACGTAGCTGCAACTAGCATGCAGAGATGAAGTTTTCCATTCCTCGGCTTTCACTACAAATGCAGAGATCTAGCAAGATTCCAGATCTTGGAAGGATGAAAATTGTGAGCAACAACATGGGTACTTTGGAAATGGCCTCTGCATTAACACCAGAAAAATAAACTATCATTCAACATGACATCTGATGCTGATACCACAAATGACAGACTCTAGAAGGCGAGTCAGGCCACACAAAGTACATCAAGTTTAAAGTGAATTAAATCTAAACAAACAATATTTTTCCACCTTCAATCACCTCCAACTAACTTCATGAGCCGCAATAAAATAGTGTGCCCTTAATAACTTAGCTTCTCAACCGAAATAAACACATCCTATCAAGTAAGCAAAGGAATCTGCACTAATCTAGACATTCATATGAAGCCCTTGTAGCTTCAACAGGCAATTGGAGAGGTAAAAAAAACTCACATGATATCAGATTTAGCACTGGTAATCATGAACTGATCATCAATATGGATTGGCTGGAATCGGCCTCTGGATTAACACGAGAAAACAGGTTGTCATCCAATGATATCAGATTGATACCAATATAACTACACGCACGTACATCACAGTACATGAGTGTTCACGGATATAAATGAAATGATGGCAAGAATAATGAAATTTTAAGTATGAAGACTGAAGTTAACCGGACAACACATTATTTAGTTCAATTTCCTAGTGCCTACAAAATGTGTCATTATCCCTCACACCTAACTTGTGTGTGACTACAAATCCAACTCAGTTCAAAAACCAAGAAGGAATAGAGTTTAGCGTTATCCGCATACCCTTTCAAGCATCACAGACGTGTCTCTAGATTAGGAGAGCCTTCAATAAAGTAGCGGATCACTTGGTAAGGTAAGATAGAAGATCCTTCGGCATACAGTAAACTTAAGGACTTCAGCTGCTTAAAGGGTGAAGGCTGATGTTTCACCAAGTCATAAGCCCCAATCAACACTTGGGGAGTAGAACCAAGGCATAATGACGTAAACAAAAAGGCTTCTAAATTTTTTACCAAAACATAAATAATTACCACACTGTAAAGGGATAGAAATGGTAAATTTGTTACACCATGCCTGTATCATAAATTTAAATTACAAGAATATATTTGGTAGGAATATGCTCATTTTATACTATTAGCAATTACAGACAACATACCTCAATGGTATAGAAAGAAGTGCAAGCAGAGGGACTTCACATTATGCAAACTATGGAACAAGTTTGCACAAAGCTCGAACGTCAGTTGCTTCTGATAATCATTGCAGACACTCTTATCAAATAGATCATTATCACTTGACAAGATGATTATTGCATGATTAATCAAAGGAAGGTTCAATTTGGAGACTTGTGGTGATAAAGCACGAATAATAAGATCATCCCAGTAATACAAAGATACAAGTTTAGGAGCGAAAATTTCCAAGGTGGGACTTGATGGCCAATGTATCTCCAAAGTAAGCAATTGGGGTCCATATATTTTTGACCCACAATATTGTGAAAAGCAATCCAACAGTTTCAGGTTTTCCAATTTGTAGCAAAAGGGTCGGCCAGGTTATCCGGACCACCAAAATCAAACTCGCAGTTAAGCAAAGTCAGAGTCTCGGGCAATTTCAAATTATACCAAAACCCAAGTGCACTCTCGTCCAGAACCGCCCATTGTAAGTCCAGAAATTTTAGCGATCGAACATAAGTAGAGATTAGGGCAACATCTGCAGATAGTATGCGGAAACAATCATCTTCCTCCTTATGAAGCACATATAACTGTTGAAGACCATTAGAGGCAGCATATTTCACGATGCCGAGATACGGAATCATGTGCGCTTGAATGTCAAAGAAGATGCTAATCTTGCGAACATGTCAGACCGGCGAGATAGAATTTGGTATACATGCCGCTCGAAATGTTGCTGCTTATGCTTAGCCTTACACGAGTGTCCGCAGAAATTGAGGACAAGAACCTCTTTCCAGACCCATCTCCACCTCCGTGACAAAATGCTGCTTCGAACAACAAATTCACTGTCCAGGAAGGAGAGAATGTGGTGCAAAATACCGTCTGGAAGTTCACTGAGTCTATCGGTTCCTTTCACACCTCGCCTCCTTTTGCCACCCTTCATGTTCGATCCTACCCCTGATCGATTAACACAGATAATCTAATTGGCAGACCCAATTCCAACCCAGAACAGATACCCAGAACGGATCTGGATTTTCGTCTCGATCAACTCCCACCGCCCGATGGGACGACGCCGTAGAGAGTGGAAGAAGATGAAGTGGGAGTCTGATTGGAAGCTGTTTGGAAGGCGGTGGGATTTTCTAAGGAAGAAAGTCGCGACGGCGGAGCTCGGCTGGTGGGAGGCGGATTGTAAGATTATTTAGAAGAGAAGAAGGGATTTTAGGATTTTATTTTTATTTATTTTTATTTTTAATTAATAAGTGACGTGGATGCCACCTTAGCACTAGATGCTGAGTCATGGACGGAATAAATGTTTGACCGTTAATATTAACAGTCGACACAAGTTTCGTGCCATATCTGTCCAATACTTTCAAAAGTAGGCCATAAATGTCTTATTTGAAAAATTGGGCCAAAACTGTCACTTACGCTATACTTCGGGCCAAACTAGGGTATTAACCCAAGGTAAAAATAGAATGTTTATGTAAAAACAAATTAAAAAAAAACTAGTTTGGTGTCCGGCCTTGGCCCACGAGAGGACATTCGGGCCAATCAACGAAGGCTCGACACACTTTGTCAGAGTGGAGACTACTAGTACTAGATGGTTTGGTTGACTGTTCGAATATTTGGTGTTGGTCTAACCATGAGAATAGAGATTTGTAACTGAAATTTTATTATCATTGGCTTAGCATTTTTTAGTAGGAAATATAAAGTGATCCAATGGTAAGAATTTAAAAATCTTTGCTCTTCAAATTCAAATTAGATGTGGAACTTTGAGGTGTTATCATTAAAGTCTCTGAATACTGCAAACTGAAAAATCAGCGTCTTAACTCCAAATATCAAAAGTTAATTTTGAGAATCAAAATTATTTTTTCACATCTAAATTACTTTTTATGGTAATTTTGAATTCTTTTCTAATGATTGGAAAATAATCTTATAGTTGTAGTTATTACGACATTATATGCTTGCAGTTTGATTGATCAATTTATTCCACGCTACAACTAGTATAATTTTAGGTTTCTCATCAAATTCATTTATTCATTATTCAAACATGAATTCTCACATGTCATTTCTAAAAGTTAATTAATTTATCGATTCACCCCACCTGACAAACTATATTTTCCAGCTTCCGCGCCAAATTCATTCATTGATTATTCAAGCATAAAATTTTAAGTCTAATCACGTCAAGTCATAAATTGATTGATTCATCTCACGTGCCAACCTATCTACTTCGCGCCAAATTCAAATTGTTGATTCCAAAAAATCTAAGAAACATAACATAATTCCAAACAAAAAAAAACATTGAGATAATATAGGGATATTCATTCGATTTCCACTATGGTCCACAATAAGAGCAAACATAAAAGAGACCACTCACTTGTCTATTTATAGTTATATGAGTTAGGTCTAATACTAAAAGACCTATCCCTAGTTTTCTAATAAACATCATAGATAGGAATCAAAGTCTCTTGAGCTCCTACTTTTCGACAAATTTCACAAGAATATTTGACTTGCAGTTTGTGAAATCTCACCAAGTACTTGAAACTCAGAATGATGTAGTCACCTACATAAAAAACAGAAATTGAGTTCAATTCTACATAGATTATCATGAAAAATATGCATTCCATATACACAACTAATATAGATGAGGTTCAATATCAAGTGAGACTAGAAGAGCGCAGTTCTATCAACTCACCTTGGTTACATTCACACCTTTTCATATTTGAGAGGAGAGTCACCGAAAAAGAATCGCGTCAAGTAGTACGATATATCAACTTTTTGTTCTGAATGACGCAAACTCAGGGACTTCAATCTCTTGAAAGGAGAAAGTTGATCCCTCAACAAGCCACAAGCATCGAAGACTTCCTAAAACAGGAACACAATGCAAACAAAAGAAAACATGGAAAAATGAACATTTCTATGAATTTCTTAGTGGAATAAACCCAACTCATGTAACAAGTCGAAACCAACAATGACTTTCATAACAAATGCAATCACAAACATTCGGTAGATAAGCAAATTAGAAAATTTTCTTCCAACATATATGCCATATGATATTGATATAGCCATATGCACATTACACTAGTTACAGGAAACTTACCTTGGCGGTATCGAATTGGAAGACTTAGACAAGAGACATTGCTCTACTCAGACCAAGGAACAAGTTCGCATTTTGTCGGTTTGCCTCTTGCTTATACTCATCATCCAAGCCCATGTATCCCAACAACTTGATATTGGCATGCTCTAAGGAAGGGACGTTGAACAAGACTTCTGTCATTGGAGAAAAGTCGTGAATCTCATTCTTGTAAGTGCACCGTTTGAGATTCGGAGCAAATACTTTTATCTCGTCGAAACCAAATACGTCGTCTACTTCCAGGCTAAGCAACTGGAGTCCAACAACTTTCAAACACCTCATTGTCTCATCTTCTTCGGGATCATCACCAAGACAACAACTGCAAGATATAAGTGCCAAATTCTTCAACATGGGGAAACGAGAAAACGGGTTGAGTGGCTGGTTCCAGCTAGAGAAATCCAAGTAGCACTCGGACAAGGCCAAAATTGTAAGTGCTTTGAAGCCAAAGCTTGACAACCCAAATGCCATGTTATCAAATTGGACTCGTTTTAAGTATAGATTCTCAATTGGTTGGTCATATAGGGAGACTGAGCGGAAGAGGGCGTTGAAGATATCAGACCTCTCCCCGAATCCAGGACAATTGAGAATTGATACATGACGAAGTCTGTGAGAGCTGACAGAACGAATTTTTAGAAGTTGGTCCACATGGTCCTTGAAGTTGTGCTCGTTGAAGGATTCGCCATCAAAATTGAGCACGTGAACCATTTTCCATAGTGATCTCCACCTATTTGACAAAATGCTACTTCGAACCACATACTTGGTATCAAGGAAGGAGAGTACATAGTACAGAACTTCGTCGGGAAGGACACTAAGTCTGTCCAGCTTGGCTCCATCAGAAAATATTTGTCTTCTTTCTAAAGGCATCTTGATTTCTTCAAGAAAGGTTGATTCGAAGGATCAACTTCAATTCTGAGCAGAAACCTGCACCCAAACAAACAAACTGACAAAAACTTAGTGTGAATTCCAAAATTGAAATAGTCATGAACAAACCAAAAGATAACTACATATGAACTTCTGTCAACAATTAAGAACTTCGTCGGCAAGGGAAAATAAGCAAAATCGTGACTACACAGGCAAAGAGGCATATTGCATATTTGATAGTTGGAAATCTTACTATGAAGAAGAAAAAGATGCTTACTTCTACAAAGGATGACAAAGAGAGACAAGGCTAAAAAAGTATAGTGATGAAGACGACAAGAGAACAAGAGTGACCCTTTCAAGAAACGATTGGTGTGTTGTTCTCTTGTTGTAGTGGTGAACTTGGTAGCAGTCAAATTTCAAACGACAATCGACGAACCCACATAGAAAAAGAAAAGAAGTTGCTCATTGGAGAGACTGAGGGACAAGAGAAATGCAAAGGCAACGTTGTAAATTATGAATAGTGGAGAAATGAAAAGAAAATGGAAGGGAGAAAGTTTTTCATCGTTACTCCAAGCAGGAGAGCATAAACATGGAAAAGGTTAACACAATAAAGTGAGATTGATTGGATGTGGACAGGTGCGGACTGAGAAACGTTTTGTCTTATATAAAGTGGTGACTCATCCATTTTTTTGAAATATCTATAACCGACAGAAAGAAAGTAGCGAGTTAGGGATGATATATTGAGTGGCCAACAAAAAGATAGATTGCATATTTGATAGTTGGAAATCTCATTAGGAAGAAGAAAGAGTTGCTTACCTCAACAAAGGATGGCTAAGAGAAGCAAGGCATCAGAAACATATAGCTATGAAGACAAAAAGAGATCAAGAAACTATATGTGTTTTGTTCTCTCACGACAGTGGTGAACTTGGTCGCAATCAACTTTTAAACAACAATCAACGAACTCAAACTTCAAAAGAAATATGTTGCTCATGGAGAGATTGAGAGGCGAAATAAAGACTAAAATGCACAGGCGATGATGGAAATTATGAATATGGTGAAAATGAACGGGCGGTGGGAGTTTTTCATCATATTTTTTTTGCAAGTAGGGGAGCATAAACATGGAGAAGATGAAAGGAGTGAAGTGAGATTGATGGGTGCGGACAGGTGTGTATTCAGGACCGTTTTATCTCATATAAAGTGGTGACTCATCCATTTATGAAATATCTAAAACATAAAATTTTTAATAGCAGAAGGAGAAGAGAGTTGACAACTATAAATTTGTCATCATCTTTGTTGCGGAAAGGAAGAAGGGAAAGATAGAGAGAGCTAGAATTAGCGAAAAGATAAAGTTTAGAGAGACAGTGATGACATATGTGATCATCACCACCAGAATATCAAAGAAGAGAGAGAGAGAGAATCAGAGCGAGAGAGAAGATATCGGGCAACGGTGGTGATAGATATGGTCACCATCACTATAAACTCCAAGGAGTAGAGAGAGACAATTATAATTAGGAGAGAGAAAGATAGGAAATGTTAATGAGTGATGAAAAATCTTAGGTGTAGAGAAAGAGGTTAGGTGAGAGAGAATGTTGTAAAATTGGAAAACAATTAATTACATATAATGAACTTTTCAAAATTTTCAAAACTATCAATTTGTGTAATTAATTGGTAATGGATATTATGGACCATCATATTGAATGACATTTGACTTTAACCAATCTTATTCTAATACTTTAGCCATTTGACTAAGCAAATCGACTTTGTTATATAATATTCATTCTCCCGAGTTAGATATTGCCATCCAAACTTTTACTGATACAAGTGTTTTTTCCATTCAAAATTCAAATTGTTGTTTTCCTTCTAAAGTTTAGACATTCTTAGGTGATGCCGGAGTGGAGACACTAGGCAAGACCCAACACCCGCCTTACGACATAGTGATTTCTTGAAACTTGGTTAAGACTTGAGAGAAGAAAAATATTAGTTTTTGTAGCTATATCAACGTTCTTACGTGTCTTTGTACTTTTTATATGTTTTAGATTTTTTGTAACAATGTTTGTGTATTATTAGATTGCATTTTCCATGCACAACAATCTTGAAATTTTTATTTACCCCAAACATAAATTAACTTTCGCGCCTAATTTAAAACAAAGTTGTACGAAATTTAAACAAACTCTCACATAATGTCAACTAACATTTGATTTCAGTGTGGCCAGACCACGCCACAACCTTTAATCATGAGTTCGGCGTCGCAAGAAGATGATCTTACCCGTGGCATAAAGAAACTATCCAAGTTCTGCAAATCGATTTGATTATGTTACCACCTTAAAATTCTTTTCGCGCCGACTTCAAAATAAATGTATAACGTAAAAAAATGCTCACATGTGTTATAAATAAAGTCCCAAATTGCGTAAATTAGTTAGTTCACTGTCAGAACCCTAATAATTGTTTGCGGCATCAACTTCAAATTAAATTTTACTTAAAAAAAGACTTGCATGTCTTATAATCAATTAGTTAATATCCTGCCATATATGTAATTGGTTTCAAATTTTCACGTCTATATTTCATATGCTGCCCATATATGTAAAATTGGTTTCTAATTTCCACGTATATATTTAGCTTCTCGTCGTATATTTAATACTCATATTTAAATTATCAATAATTGTAACTCACATGCATATATCTTTTTATGGATAATTAGTTATATATACACGAAAAAAGCCCAACAGAACTATCTTTGAGGGGATCGACATTTTGTAATGGTTGAAAATTTTAGGGTAAATTATAAATTGTGGTCACTAAAAGTTACACTTGCAGTTTTCTCAAGACAATTAAATCACGACGACCTTGCACTACGTGTAGTTTCCTGTTGTTTTGTTCTGCTTTTTGGGTTTGACCCGTTGGGCTGACAAATGGAGGTAAGGAACTGTAAAAGCCACACAATAAAAGTTCATGCATTGCATGCAGTTGACACTTGGAATAATTAAAAAGAAATCCTTTGGCATTTATTACAGAGGCCATGCATGTTCTCTATCAGAGGTTGTTTAGCAAGGTTACAAAACTTGTCAGCCGTGTCTTAAAAATCGTTGTCCATAGAAGTCAAAGGTGCAATCCATCTCAATTCAACACAGAAGTTTTCTTGCCGGAAAACAGTTTATAAGAATTCGGCTAGGATGTTTACATCATATAGGAACGTCCATACAACATTTAGCAGTCGTTGGATTTCACCTTTGGTGCTCCTCATATCGGTGATGGAACATCTCATTTATAAAATTGTCACTGTATTTATCTAATGATCACAAAACATCCATCACAGTTCAATGACAATGAACGGTGTAGAAACACAGTTTGCAGTACTAATACTACCATAAAGTGTGTTACATCATATACATTAGACTATTGATCATGTTGCTGGAAGGTTCAAGCTTTACAATATAAACTATGTACCATGGAACGAGAGGGAGCCTTCATCAATACAGAGGGGAACTAAATCCATGATCGTGGGTATTCGATCAACTCGACCCAGTCAATGTGGAGAATCCTTGCATTGACTAGGTATTGGACGGATATGGATAGAACACGCAAAATATTGATGGAGATTGAGTTATTATGATTTTTTGCTCTCCCTACCCATATAATTTTTTTATATATACAATAGTTCGAGTAATTGGATGCTAAAATAGTGATTTTCTTATTACTTTGTAGGATTATATGCTTAGATTTTCAATTACAAATAGTTCTATCTTTGTTGATTTTACGATCTATTAGTATTTGATGTTAAAAATCGAAAATTTACATATTTAGTGTTTTATTGTATGAATTCTATGTATAATATTGGATATAAGTTGAGAATAAAGGTTTGCAACTGATGTTCTTTTTTTTCGTAACTAAAGTCTGAATTTTAACCAATAATGTCATTGGCTTAACGTTTTTTGGTAAAAAATATAAAGTGATTAATGGTAGGAAATAATTCAAAATTACTTTTCATAGTAATTTTGAATTATTTTCCTAATGATTGGAATAATCTTACAGTTACCATTACTGGGCAATACTATATGCATGTAGTTTGATCGGTCGAATTACAAACTATATTTTCCAACTTTCGCGCCAAATTTATTTATTGATTATTCAAGCATAAAATTTTAAGTCTAATCTTGTCAAGTCATAAATTGATTGATTCATCCCACGTGACAACCTATCTACTTCACGCTAAATTCAAATTGTTGATTCAAAAAAAAAATATTAAGAAACATAACATAATTCCAAAAATAAAACGTTGAGATAATAGAGGGATATTCATTCGATTTCCATTATGGTCCACAATAAGAGCAAACATAAAGATACCACTCAGTTGTCTAGTTATACTTATATGAGTTTGGTCTAGTAGTAAGACCTATCCCTAATTTTCCAATAAGCAATACAGATAGGAACCGAAGTCTCTTGAGCTTCTACTTTCCGAGAAATTTCACAAGAGGATATGACTTGCAGTTTGCGAAATCTTCCAAGCACTTGAAAGTCAAAATGATGTAGTCACCTGCATAAAAAAAAGAAATTGAGCTACATTCTACATAGATTATCATGAAAAATATGCATTCAATATACACAACTATAAATGTAGTTGAGGTTCAATATCAAGTCAGCCTAGAAGAGCGTAGTTCCATCGACTTACCTTGGTTACATTCACACCTTTTTCATATTTGAGAGAGGAGTCACCAAAAAAGAATCGCGTCACGTAGTTTGGTATGTCGACTTTTTGTTCTGAATGACGGAGACTAAGGGATTTCAATCTTTTGAAAGGAGAGAGTCGATCCCTTAACAAGCCACAAGCATCGAAGACTTCCTAAAACAGGAGCACAAGGAAAAAAATAAAAACACGAACAACATTAACATTTTTCCACAAATGTCTTGGTGGAATAAACCCAACTCACGTAACAAAACAAGTTGAGATGAGCACGACTTTCATAACAAATGTAATCACAAACATTCAGTAGATCAACAAATTAGGAAAATGTTTTGCAACATATATGACATATGATAATGATATGAACATGTTCGCATTACACTAGTTATAGGAAACTTACCTTGGCGGTATCGAATTGGAAGACAAGCGACATTGCTCTACTCATACCAAGGAACAAGTTTGCATATTGTCGGTTTGCCTCTTGCTTATACTCATCATACAAGCCCTTGTATCCCAACAACTTGATATCGGCATGCTCTAAGGAAGGGACATTGACCAAGACTTCTGTCATTGGAGAAAAGTCACGAATCCGATTCTTGTAAGTATACCGTTTCAGATTTGGTGCAAATACTTTTATCTCATCGAAACCAAATACATCGTCTACTTCTAGGATAAGCAACTGGAGTCCAACAACTTTCAAACACCTCATTGTCTCGTCATCTTCGGGATTGTCACCAAGAGAACAACTGCAAGATATTAGTGCCAAATTCTTCAACATGGGAAAACGAGCAAACGGGTTGAGCGGCTGGTTCCAGCTAGAGAAATCCAAGTAGCACTCAGACAAGGTCAAAGTGGTAAGCACTTTGAAACCAGAGCTTTGCAACCCAAATGTCATATTATCAAACTGGACTCGTTTTAAGTCCAGAGTCTCGATTGAATGGTCGCAGAGGGAGATTGAGCGGAAGATGGCGGCAAAGATATCAGACCTCTCTCCGAATCCAGGACAATTGAGAATCGATACACGACAAAGCCTGTATGAGTTGACAAAATAGACTTTTAGAAGTTCGTCCACATGGTCCTTGAAGTTGTGCTCGTTGAAGGATTCACCATCGAAATTGAGCACGGGAACCGTTTTCCAGAGTGATCTCCACCTGTTTGACAAAATGCTACTTTGAACAACACACTTGGTATCAAGGAAGGAGAGTACATGGTGCAGAACTTCATCGGGAAGCCCACTAAGTCTGTCAAACTTGGCTCCATCAGAAAATATTCGTCTCCTTTCTGAAGGCATCTTGATTTCTTCAAGCATGGTTGATCCGAAGGATCAACTTCAATTCCTAGCAGAAACCTACACCCAAACAAGCAAACTGACCAAAAGCTTAGTATGAATTCCAAAATTGAAACTATCATGAACAAACCAAAAGATAACAACGTAAGAACTTCTGTCAATGATTAAGAAATTCGTCAACAAGGGAAAATAGGCAAAATCGTGACTATGCCAACAAAAAGGCATATTTCATATTTGATAGTTGGAAATCTTACTAGGAAGAAGAAAAATTTGCTTACTTATACAAAGGATGACTATGAGAGACAAGGCTCAAAAAACATACAGCTATGAAGACGACAAGAGAATAAGAGCGACCCATTCAGGCAACGATCAGTGTGTTGTTCTCTTGTCGTAGTGGTGAATTTGGTAGTAGTCAACTTTCAAACTACAATCGACGAACCCACACAGAAAAAGAATAGAAGTTTCTCGTTGGAGAGACTGAGAGAAAAGAGAAATGCAAAGGCGACGATGGAAATCATGAATAGTGGAGAAATGAAAAGAATACGGAAGGGAGAAAGTTTTTCATCATTTTCTCTAAGTAGGAGAGCAGAAACATGGAGAAGGTGAACGCAATTAAGTGAGATTGATGGGATGTGGACAGGTGTGGACTTAGAAACGTTTTGTCTTATATAAAGTGGTGACTCATCCATTTTTTGAAATATCTATAACCGACAGAAAGAAAGTCGCGAGTTAGGGATGATATATTGAGTGACCAACAAAAAGACAGATGGCGGATTAGATAGTTGAAAATCTCACTAGGAAGAAGAAAGAGTTGCTTACCTCAACAATGGATGCCTAAAAGAGGATGAACTCAGAAACATATAGCTATGAGAAGGGAAGAAAAGAGAGAGAGAGAGAGAGAGAGAGTTAGAAACGGCGAAGAGATAAACTTTATAGAAACATTGATGACTAATGTGATCACCTCCACCAGAATATCAGAGAAGAAGAGAGAGAGAGAATCGGAGCAAGAGAAAAGATATCAAACAAGGGTGGTGATAGATATGGCCACCATCACTAGAAACTCTAAGGAGAGAGAGAGAGAGAGAGAGAGAGAGAGAGAGAGAGAGAGAGAGAGAGAGAGAGAGAGAGAGAGAGAGAGAGAGAGAGAGAGAGAGAGAGAGAGAGAGAGAGAGACAAGAAAGGATTGATGAAAATCATAGGTTTAGAGAAAGAGGTTAGGTGAGAGAGAATAATGGAAAATTGAAAAATAATTAATTACATTTAATGAAATTTCAAAATTTTCAAAACTATCATTTTGTGTAATTAATTGGTAATGGATATGGTGGACCATCAGATTGAATGATATTTGACTTTAACCAATCTTATGCTGATAATACTTTAGTCATTTGACTAGGCAAATAAGCTTAGTTATATCATTATATGATATTCATTTTCACGAGTTAGATATTTTCATCCAAACTTTTAACTCATACAAGTGTCTTTAACATTCAAAATTCAAATTGTTGTTTTCCTTCTAAAGGTTAGGCATTCTTAGGTGATGTCGAAGTGGAGACACTAGGCAAGACCCAACACCCGCCTTACGACATAGTGCTTTCTTGAAACTTGGTTATGACTTAAGAGAAGAAAAAATATTAGTTTTTGTAGCTACATCAACGTTCTTATGTGTCTACTTTTATATGTTTTAGGTATTCTACGACATTGTTTGTATATTATTGGATTGCATTTTCTATGCACAACTATCTTGAAAATTTCATTCACCCCAAACATAAATTAACTTTCGCGCCAATTTTAAAACAAAGTTATAACGGAAATTAAACAAACTCTCACATGATGCCAACTAACTTTTGATTTCAGTGTGGCCAGACCACGCCACAATCTTTAATCATTAGTTCGGCGCCGCAAGAAGATGCTCTTACGCGTGGCATCAAAAATCAATCTGAGCTCTACAAATCGATCTATTTTAAGTTACCAAGTAAAAAATTCTTTTCGTGCCGACTTCAAAATGAATCTATAACAGCAAAAAAGCCCACACGTGTTACAAATAAAGTCCTGAATTCCGTACATCAGTTAGTTCACTGTCACAACCCTAATAAGTTTGCGGTGTCAACTTCAAATGAAATTTAACTTAAAGAAGAGAGAACTTTCATGTCTTATAATCCATAAGACATAAACCTAATTAATATCCTGCCATATATGTAATTGGTTTCAAATTTCCACGTTTATATTTAATATGCTTTTTTTGTCAAAAAAATAATATTAAGATATATCCTATATTAAATATGTTTCCTTATATGTAAAAATTGGTTTCTAATTTCCACGTATATATTTATTTGCTTGTCATATATTTAACATTCATATTTAAATTATCAATAATGAACTCATATGCATATATCTATTCATGTAATATTAATTATATACGAGAAAAGCCCACCAAAAATTATTTTGAAGGGATCAACATTTTGTAACGGTTGTAAAATGTAGGGTAAATTACCGCTTGCGGTCACTAAAAGTTACACTTACCGTTTTTTTGTTGTTTTGCTATGTTTTTTGGGTTTGGCTGACAAATGGAAGTAAGAAACTGAAAAAAAAAAAAAGTAGTCCATGCATTGCATGCAGTTGACAACTTAGAATAATTAAGAAGAAATCCTTTGGCATTTAATGGTGGAGACCATGCATGTTCTTTATCAAAGTTGTTTCGCGTCGCTACAAAACTCGTCATAAAAAGTATACATGCATATAGAACAATAACAGTTACATTCTAGTATGCCACGTTCCTCATCCAAAAAAAATTGATTTGTTTACAGGAATTTGGCTAGGGTGCTTACATCATACATGTAGGAACGTGCATTTGGAAGCCGTTGGATTTACGATGGGTGTTCCTCGATCGTTGATGGATATCTTAGTTAGTTATAAAATTCACTGTTTTTATCTAATGATCACAAAACATCCATCACATTTCAATGACAATGAACGGTGTAATTAAGAACATCGATCCTTTTAGATGGTGTTGTAAGCACCATAGCAGTTTGCACTATTGCTACTTACATCATATACATTAGACTAGTGATCATCATGTCACTAGAAGGTTCAAGTTTTACAACATAAACTATGTACCGAGGAACGAGAGTAAGCCTTCATCATTAGGGAGGGCAACGAAATCCATGATCGTGGGTATCCGATGGTCCAAACCCAGTCAACATGGAGAATCTTTGTATTGATTAGGTATGGAGCGGATATGGATAGAACACGAAAGAAGTGATGAAAAATCATAGGTTTAGAGAAAGAGGTTAGGTGAGAGAGAATGTTGGAAAATTGGAAAATAATTAATTACATTTAATAAATTTTTCAAAATTTTCATAACTATCATTTTGTGTAATTAATTGGCAATGGATATTGTGGACCGTCAGATCAAATGACATTTGACTTTAACCAAACTTATGTTGATATTATTTTAGCCATTTGACTAAGCAAATAGGCTTAGTTATATGATATTCATTCTCGCGAGTTAGATATTGTCATCCAAACTTTTAACTCATACAAGTGTCTTTTCCATTCAAAATTCAAATTGTTGTTTTCGTTCTAAATGTTAGACATTCTTAGGTGATGTCGAAGTGGAGACACTAGGCAAGATCCAACACCCTCCTTACGATATAGTGCTTTCTTGAAACTTGGTTAAGAGAAGAGAAAATATAAGTTTTTGTAGCTATATCAACGTTCTTATGTGTCTTTGTACTTTTATACGTTTTAGATTTTTTGCAACATTATTTGTGTATTATTGGATTGAATTTTCTATGCACAACAATCTTGAATTTTTTATTTACCCCAAACATAATTTAACTTTCACGCCTAATTTAAAACAAAGTTGTAACGAAAATTAAACGAAATCTCACGTGATATCAACTAACATTTGATGTCAGTGTGGCCAGACCACGTCACAACCTTTAATCATTAGTTTGGCGCCGTAAGAAGATGCTCTTACGCATGGCATCAAGAACCTATCCGAGCTCTGCAAATCAATTTATTTTATGTTACCACCTAAAAATTATTTTTGCGCCGACTTCAAATGAATCTATAACAGGAAAAAAGCTCACACGTGTTATAAATAAAGTCCGTAATTCCGTACATTAGTTAGTTCACTGTCACGACCTTAATAAGTTTCCGACATCAACTCCAAATAAAATTACATAAAAAAGATACTTTCTTCAATAAGACATAAACCTATCTAATATCCTGCCATATATGTAATTGATTTCAAATTTCCACATCTATTTTTAATATGTTGCTATATATGTAAATTGGTTTCTAATTTCAACGTATATATTTAGCTTCTCATATATTTAATACTCATATTTAAATTATCAATAATGTAATTAACTCACATGCATATATCTATTAACGGAATATTAATTATACACGACAAAAGCCCACCAAAACTATTTTTGAAGGAATTGACATTTTGTAACGGTTGGATATTTTATGGTAAAGTTTCGCTTGTGGTCACTAAAACTTACACTTGTCATAAAGTATGCATGCATTGCATTTTTTTTTTTTTGCTCTGTTTTTGGGTTTGGGCTAACACATGGAAGGAAGGAAGTGCAAAAGTAAAAAAAAAAAAAAAAAGTAGTCCATGCATTAATTGCTTGCAGTTGACAACTTCAAATAATTAAGAAGAAATCCTTTTGTATTTAATGGTAGGGACCATGCATGTTCTCTATCAAAGTTTGTTTCGCGTCGCTACAAAACTTGTCATAAAAAATATACATGCATTTATAACAAGAACAGTTACATTCTATTGTGTCACGTTCCCCATCCACAAAAAAGAGATATTTTTTATAGGAATTCGGCTAGAGTGCTTACATCTTATTATAGGAACATTCATACAACATTTGGCAGCCGTTGTATTTTACAATTGGTGTTCCCCGATTGTAGATGGATATCTTATTTATAGAATTGTCACTGTATTCATCTAACGATCACAATATATCCATACAGTTCAATGACAATGAACGGTGTAAGAAGATCGATCCTTTGAAATGGTGTTGTAAGTACCATGGCAGTTTGCAGTACTATTACTACCGCAAAATGTATTAGATCATATACATTAGACTAGTGATCATGTCGCTAGAAGGTTCAAGCTTTACAATATAAACTATGTATCGGGGAACGAGAGGGATCCTTCATCATTATAGAGGGTAACTAAATCCATGATCGTGGGTATCCGATCATCCCGACCCAATCAACGCGGAGAATCCATGTATTGATCGGATATGAGGCGGATATGGATAGAACACGCAAAAAATTGATTGAGATTGAGCTAGTATGATTTTATGCTCTCCCGACCCACATAATTATTTTTTATATATACAAAAGTTAGAGTGATTGGATGCTAAAATAGTGATTTTATTATTACTTTGTAGGATTATATGCTTAGATTTTGAATTACAAATGGTTCTACCTTTGTTGATTTTACAATTTATTAATTTGATGTTATAACCGAAAATTTACATATTAAGTAAGTTTTACTGTATTAGTTCTAGGTATAATATTGGATATAGGGTGAGAACATTAGATATTCGAAAAATGTGGATATAGAGATGAAGTTGCAAAATCTCTTTTCGCATGGGTATGTTGCGGGTATAAATTTAGCTATTTAGAGATGATGATGAGATAGTTTAGGAGATCTCACCTAAATCCCCTCTATTGTCATCCCTATTCGTAAGCAGAAGGCCCTTATTAGGGCTGGAAAACGGTGCGATCTGGTCCAGACCAGACCATATATACGGTCTATGATCCAGAACGAGAGGCTGAAGTATAGACCATAGAACAAACCACAAACTATACGATCCGGTCCAGACCACGCATGTGCGGTCTGGTCTGGTCCAGATAGACCACACTCAACGAAAAATGAATAATTTGTTTAGTCAACCACACAAAAAATTGAACAAATAACCAAGAAAAATCATTGTTATTTTCCTTAACACATTAATCCTAACATGCATGAATAATTTTGATACCCTAAATCTTAGTACATAACAAAGATACAAACTACAAAGTAAAAGCATCCCAACTTTCACCATAATGTCCTAAAATTAACATAATATCATATGGAGACACAATTATCTCTACTCTCTGGTTAAATGGGGTTGTGAATGAAGGAGGGACGAGATTCACAAACTAAGGTTGAGACTTGGGTGTCGTTGTGGGAGTTGGAAGAGTGGTCGAATGGGCTGTTAACACGTATTGACAAGTTGGTTGGGTCCACAGTTTGGTCCGATAAACCGCGGTCCAGACCAGAGCATACCAAGAGATCAAAACATAAAATAATACAGACCATAGACCAGACCAGACCATACTTAACGGTCTACGGTCCGGACCAAACTGTGTGGTACGGTTTGGACCATGGTTTTTTCTAACGGTCTGGTCTATTTTCCCAGCCCTAGCCCTTATGGTCTTCCAGGCTTAACTCAAACGAGCCTTGATCCAATTCCAGAGTGGTTTTGTGGACACAGTACTGGGCTCTAGTCTCAACTCTCAACCTACACTAGTTTGCTTAAGTAGTAGCTAGTAAAATTATATCATATAATAGTGTGTAATAGTACTCGTTTGTTTAATCCCTAACTGTTTGTGCCTAGTAAGTACTAGGCGGTTTGTAGGACAGCGGTGAGGCGTCTGTTCTTGGAAGGCTTACGTATTGCATTTTTCAATCGGTATATAAGACATAACTAAAACCTTATAAGTTTAAACAATATATTTTAAAATTTTACGTAATTTTTATAGAAATTAGAACCGTGTTATATAAATCTTTGGTAAATTAATCTATATATAAATCTCACATTTAATTAAATTAGTATATTGAATTAATTTGTACTAGGGAACCTTTGTGTAATACTAATTGAAGAGATGGTTAATATTATAGATAACAATAAAGGAAGTTTATTTAATAATGAGTGGAAGGTTTCAAAAAAGATCATCGTTAATTAAATTATTTTAATGTAAAACTAACCGAATTGAGTTGGTCAACATTTTAGTTAAAATTGAGGAGTTTTCATTCGAACTTATATTACAGAAGGTTTATGCATTATATTTATTTAATTAATGCATAAAAAATTACTTTACCTCCATAAGTTTTACGCATTGAACGGCACACTCGGTGACATCCTTGTGAGTCTTTTCGGAACATCGCTAACTATCGCTTCCAACTCTCATGAACTCCGAATGGTCAGGAATAGCGCTATTTCACAGTGAAGAACTGAAGAGCCAAGAATGAAAACGAAGTATTCGTAGTGTAATTTCTCACCAAACCAACTTAGATATGCTTTCATTCTTATTAGTTGTTACTCAGATGATACAGCTTGGAATCGAAGCTCCCTCGACGGCCTGAAACAGCTTGGAATCATCGAAGGAAAGCTTCTTGTAATCGGGGTTTGACGAAGATGTTACGAGTGTCACTGCCGCTGGAAGCCTGGAACGCCGGAGCTAAAGAGAAACGGCGCCGTAACGGCTGAAACAAAGAATAAGCTATTTACTAGGTAGCTGCCTATTTACAAAAAGCACCCACACTTCTAATCCGCCGCAGTTTGATCCTTCTGAAACTTGGACCGACCATCATATCTTTGGTGATGGTGCAGCTGAAGGGAGAAAGAAGAGGATCATGCAAACTGGCAATGGAAAGCAACTAGGGAGAAGGAATCCTTAAAATGGATTAGCTTTGTTATCTCTAATCACTAATCAGCTTGACTCAAATGGACAAGTCATTTTTTCAGCAAATAATAATTGAAGTCTGTTAGCGACTGTTAAGGGATCCCATGGTTTTGGTTCATTTATGGATCAGTAACATGGACTATAGTCATGAACCTAGAACCCAGAATATGAACGAAGGGGTGAAAAATTACGGATTACCTGCTACCAGAATAAGCTAGTATATCTGAACTGATCAGCAACCCGGCACAAACAAGCTAGGCATGAATAATATTTGATGCATCCAATTCCAACCTGCACTAATAACCAGTCTAAATATAGCAAACGTAGGGGGTCAAATCGCCCACAACGAACTTTCATGCTCTCTGCTGGTATCCATATGAAATTCTGAATGCACTCTGTATGAAGTCCGAAATTGATGACAATTTCTTAGGAGGCCAAGAGAGCGAATGAACAACTATGTTATGCAATACACAGCAAATGATTGAGGAATGTCTAGAGACGAGTTACAACAACAAACTATATATGAGCTAGCAGTTAGTCCAATAGAGAGACGCCAACACTTTTGATTTTGATTCTCTTTACATTCTTGGCATATTCTTTCTTGACTGGCTGAAGGAAAAATATGAAGGTAACAGTGAGGCCAGCATCTCTCTCATACCAAGGTTTTGCTTCATCTTGTATTCCTTCCAGGGTCGTACCTAACAGGTTCTTGTCGTACCACATATATACGTTATCTGATTGGGAGGCCCCACCAAAACCAAAATTGGGAGATCTCCAATATACAGGAGTGGTAGTGCAAACGCAAGCGATAGATATATCGACAAACCCAACATTTGAAGAACACACCATTCCAAATGCAATCCCTTTGATTAGCCGCTTAGTAGTGCAGTCAGAAAGAGTCAATTGCAGCATCGGACATGAATCACTTGCATAATTCGGGCTTCTGTAAGCAAACCACCTTGGAATTTCACTCCCGGAATGTTGAAGAACACACTAAAACCAACAGAGAGGGACACTATTATAAAAATCATCTTCAAGATTTACCGCCACTACTAATCATAAATATAACATAATTAATTATAGTGTTGTAATGTTTAAATACCTGAGGATGTGGATTTGACGTTGCATGATTATGGAAATTAAGCACTACTTATTGAGGAAGATACGGATCCAGTTACGGGCAATGTTCAAAGTAGAGTTCCTTCCATCTCAGCTTGCCTATGTTGCTTGGTAAGGCTTGTAGCAACGTGCAATCACTTACAACCAAAGTTAGAAGATTGGGTGGGAGTTCTGGCAAATATTTAATCCTCGAACAGTCCGCCAATGACAAGTAGGATAACTTGATAAGCTTATGGATGTCGCTCGGGACGAACTCTAAGCTTTTGTTGGAACCCAACTCTAAATGGGAGAGCTGGTCAAGTTCCACAATAGCCGAAGGCAGGGACTCAATATCCGTGCCAACAAAAACGAGGATCTGCAAATATTTCAGATTGTTGATGCCGGTTGGAAATATTTTCAGGTTGCGACATCCTTTTATAGAAAGCACAGTTAAGCCAGTCACAGGCTGTGAGATTTCCGGCAAACTTTCAATCGACGGGCAATCTCCGAGAATGAGCGTTTGAGAGACCATGTTCCAGACGTTACTTGACAAGCACTTGAGTTGGGGGTTGCCAACCAACGCCAATCCAACAAATCTTGGCAAAGAAGCCAGCTGATGATGATCATCACCATCATAACAATCCATCTCTGTTATTGTAGTATGGCACAACCGCAACACTTCCAAGCTTGTTGTGATTGCGGGGAAGCAGGTGATGTGTTTGTCGCAGAGACGAGTTTGCCACCCTGCTTGATAGTGTAAATTGCACGTGGCAAGGCTGTGACAGGTGTCTCCATTAAATCCAAAATCTCTAACTCGGTTGAATTAATCTCAGGACAACGAGTGACCTTGGGACAGTTGGACAATCGCACCGTGTTGAGGAACTTTGAGTTGAGTTTGGGTGGGAGGATCTGCAGATTTGTACAATCTCGGAGGTCCAGTACTACCAGCTTGTCCGGATATTGAACGTGAGATGGTAGCTCAATCAACCTTTTGCACCCCTTGAGATAGAGGCGCTCCAGCTTCGGAGACCCTGATAGGTTTGGGACTGCATCTAAATTTATGCAGCGAGAGAGGTCAAGCCACACTAGATTCACAAGTTGTGACTGCAACACAACAAGAAGACTAAAATATAATTATCTCTCTGTTCACTTTTGAGTATATGATAAAAGAAACGCACTTCTCAATTGACAAATAAATCAATACCTATGGCAAAAAAATGACAAATAAATCCACTCCAACAATAATAGAAAAATAATTTATTAAGAGTTTCGATCCCTAAACATTACGAATTCACCGACTCATTAACAAAGTAATTTTCCTGAGTAAAAGTCCTTCAACCCTCTCTTTGACTAACTAGCTTTATACCCGGTCCGTTGGCCGGATAAGCGTTTCATATATCATTTATATTGACCAACTTACAATAGTACTTAAAGTCTTTCATATTGTAATTCAATATTTAATAAAATACTTTTTATTCTGGGTAAATTTGTCAAACACTCAAATGATATTTTTAAGTTCTTACTAATTAAGTTGGTTGCATGTTCATGTTGAAATTCCAACATTGAACATATTAACCAATGATACTTAATATAAAATCAAGTCCTCCAAAGAGATGTATAAAGTGTCAACGAATGATATTTTCAAGATTGTGATTCAAAAAAGTCAAAGTCACTATCTCACACAATTTACATAAATCTAGAATTATTCATGTTTGGCCTAGGATTCCAGTGATTGTTACTAATTGGATGTAAATAACGCATTCCTACATGATGATTTGGATGAAATTATCTACATGACAGTACACCAGGCTTGCCCCTTCCTCCTAATTCCAAAAATCTTGTATGCAAACTAAACAAATTCCTTTATGGCCTTAAGGAGGCAAGTATTTATGGCCCTAAGCCATTCAAATATTTTGAATTCTGGGCGGAGCATCCAAAGTTCCTGGAAATTGTTGAGGAGGCGTGGAATGTGGAGGTTGGTGGATCGCCACTGCTGATTGTTCAACGTAAACTTAGAGAGGTGAAAAGAGCTTTGAAGAAATTTAATAAAGAGGTCTTTGGTAATCTTCAGGATCAAGTGTTGGCAGCAGAAAAAGAGTTGCAGAGAGTGCAGATTTTGGCGCTTTCAGAGCCTACATCAGGCCATTTTGCGGCTGTTTCCCAGGCCAAGGATCAGTTTGATCAACTGGTGCTTGCTTATGAAAGCTTCTGCTGGCAAAAATCGAGAGTCTCGTGGTTATCAGTGGGAGATAAGAGCTCGAATTTTTTCCATCAGGCTGTTAAGATAAGAAATTCCAAGAGGGCAATTAGGAAGTTGGTTACTGATGGGGGGGGGGGGGTGGAGATAGTTCAGTCAGAGCAAATAGTTGAAGAAGTGGTAGGATTCTATAAAAAATTGCTGGGTGAAGCAAATATAGCAATTCAGCCGAGAATGGAAGAGATACAGAACCTAGTCCAGAAGCAGATACCAGCAGAAGATGGTGCAATATTGATGCAGGACATCACAGTGGAGGAGGTTCGGCAAGCAGTTTTCAGCTTGAATTCCCAAAAGGCTCCTGGGCCAGATGGGTTTTCTGCTGGTTTCTACAAGCGTGCTTGGTCAATCATAGGCGCTGATGTCACCAGAGGGGTATTATTTTCCTTCCAAACAGGTAAATTGCCCAGTGGAGTTAACTCTACTGCTGTCTCTTTAATTCCTAAAGTTCCTGGTGCGGATACTCTTAAGAACTTTCACCCTATCTCTTGTGTCAACCTCCTTTACAAAATCATTGCAAAAATTCTGGCTAAGCGTATTAGGGAAGTGATGCCTCTAGTTATCAGTAATACACAGTCAGCTTTTATCAAGGGTAGAAGTATAATGGACAATATTTTGTTGGCCCAGGAATTGGTTAGTGGATATAATAGGGTTGGATTATCATCACGGTGTGCGATTAAGATAGATATCATGAAAGCATTCGACTCAGTAAACTGGCATTATCTATTTCATATGATGAGTGCTATGGGTTTTCCTCCAAAGTTTTTGGGATGGATCAGAAGCTGTGTGCAAACAGCTCATTATTGTATAAATGTTAATGGAAGTTTGTGTGGGTTTTTTCGGGCTCAGAAGGGGGTAAGACAGGGTGACCCCCTGTCACCCTATCTCTTCACCATTGCGATGGAGGGCTTGTCTGTTATGTTGCATTCTGCAGGGCAGGCAGGAGTAATACCCTTTCACCCTCAATGTCGTCGGATTGCGTTAAATCACATGTGCTTTGCCGATGACATATTGGTTTTTACAACGGGATCTGCACAGGCCATATTACAAGTCAAGCAAGTACTCGAGTCATTTTATCAGCTCTCTGGTCTAAGGAGCAATGCAGCCAAGTGCGAAGTGTATTTTGGAGGAGAATCTGTGCTATATAAACAAAATGCGTTGCTTCTATCTGGGTTTAAGGAGGGTAGCTTACCGGTTCATTACTTGGGACTGCCGCTGATGACTGGTAAGTTATCCTCAACGGAAGTTGATATTTTGGTTGACAAAATCACAAAGCGTATCCGAACTTGGCGAGCTCGCAAACTCACATATGCAGGACGGTTGCAATTGGTCAACTCGGTTCTGCTCGGGGTTATACAATACTGGATGCAGCTGTTTGTCCTCCCTAAGAAAGTACTAAAATGCATTCAGAAGATCTGCTCAAGTTTTCTTTGGCATGGAGTTGAGGCGGGTAAAGCAAAGGTGGCGTGGGATGAGATAGCTTTACCAAAGCAGGAGGGTGGTCTGGGTGTGAGGGACATGCTAGCTTGGAATCAGGCTAGTACAATTCGTATGTTGTGGCTGTTTCTTTTGAAATCAGGGGCGCTTTGGGTAGCTTGGATGTCTTAATACAAGTGTAAACAGGGGGATTTATGGTCTATGAAGGTTCAGTATAGTAGTTCCTGGGCATGGCGGAGAATTCTGAAGCTGAGATCTGTTATTATGCCTTGGATTCATATGCAGAATGGAGTTGTGTTCTGGGATATGCAGGAAATGCAGGTTTATTCAGTGAGGCGAGTTTGGGAAACGTTGAGGAAGAAGGCACCTAAAGTCTCTTGGTGCAAACTTGTATGGAATGGGGTGACTCCACCACGTTACAGTTTCCTTGCTTGGCTTGTAATTAGGAATGCTATAACCACAAAGGATAAACTGAAGAGATGGGGTAAGTTAGCTGATGCCTCCTGCCCTTTTTGTGGATTGGATGCAGAGACGAGAGCTCGCCTTTTTCTCCAGTGTGCATACTCACAGCAGATTGTTGCTCTGCTACACTGTCAGCTTTTGAGATTTAATGATTGGGATGTTATGTTGAGAGTTGTTGGTAGTAAAGTTAGTAGTAATTTTCAGGTGGGTAAATGGCATGCACTTCTCTGGTGCTTACTGGTTGTAGTGATCTGGAAAGAGAGATGTGGGGTTACTCATGGAAATGCACTTCGGCCTCCACAAGCAGTAGCAGAGAAGATCAAGGATGAGCTGCTGTTCCTCACGTGTGGCAACAGGGGAATAGGAGATGAAATGAAAAAGCTAGGATACTTGTGAGTTTTTTCCTTTTATACTGTAAGAAGGATAGAGTGAGACGAATTGGTAGATAAGAATGATGTAGTGATGTAGTGATGTTGATACAAGACCAGAGGGTCTTGCTCGTTGTATCGGAGTTTTTCCTTAATAAAAGGCTACTGATTCAACGAAAAGTAGACAATGGAATTTCTTGCTTACTGCTGGATTCCAACAATCTAAAGCAGATTATGCATTGTTTACTAAACATAAAGATGGTAAGTTCCTTGTTGTTTTGGTGTACGTTGATGATGTGATCATGACTGGAGATTTTTTAACTGAAATATAGTCTCTTAAGTCTAATCTTGATTCTGGTTTCAAAATAAAAGATATTGGTCATGTCAAATATTTTCTCGGACTCGAAATTGCAAGGAAATCTACTTGGAATATTAGTCTGCCAACGAAAAGATGTGTTAGATTAATTGGCAGACTCAGGTTTGCTTGCTGCCAAACCTGTTCCAACCCCATCCAATCTTGGTATTAGATTATCAAGTAAGGATGGTACTTTTTTGGATGATGCATCTGTTTATAGACGTTTAGTTGGCGGTTATTATACTTGTACGTGTAATATCCAGCTAGATATAGCATTTGCTGTAACCATGATTTTATAAATTTTATACCATGCTGATGTAGTTATATAAGACGGAACATATGAACATGAAGGAATTTTACAATGGTATAAAGTATTGGTGCTTTAGTTTTTACCTTTACTATCAAGCCATGGACCTTTAACCATCTTTGAACCACTAGGTGACATGTCTATGGGAGGCCTAAACTAGTTATACTTCAGATTTTATAAATTTTATACCATGCTGATGTAGTTATATAAGACGGAACATATGAACATGGAGGAATTTTACAATGGTATAAAGTATTGGTGCTTTAGTTTTTACCTTTACTATCAAGCCATGGACCTTTAACCATCTTTGAACCACTAGGTGACATGTCTATGGGAGGCCTAAACTAGTTATACTTCAGATTGATTATAATTTTATGAATAACATATTAACTTTTAATTCCTGTGAAAAAATAAATAGAAATATTCTAATTTAGACATAAATACTCAAGGTATAACCGGATCGAGATTAAATTAACAAGAATATATATAATAATAAAATAAAAAGAAAGGCATTATAGAAGATTTTAATTCCACCAAGTAACATAGTTAGAATGATCATCACTTTTCTTTTTCCACATTTCGTATTACCTCCTTGCATCCCAACCCTAATTACATGGAGAGAATCTACCCATCCAAAAAAATTGAAATCACTGTTTCAACATACCTCGGCTTTCCAGCATCTTTTCAGTAGTGGGCTAGCACGTAGATTAAGTACGACAAGGTTATCTGGAGAAAATCTTGATGGTAGAGATTTTGAAGGAAATTTCTGCCACTCCAACCATTTTAGACTATCTGGAAGAGTGACAAGGCCACCGTATGGTACATGAACTTTAGAGGTTTCATGCTCATTTCTCCAATAGGAGAACCTGAGAAAACTAAGAGATGTCATCCCTTCAAAGGCGTTGGCTTCCATATGTATATACATGGCTTCGGAAAGGTTCAACAGAATGCCTTCAGTGGTTCTACCTTGCTCAAAGCACTCCTTTGCTTCTCTTTCGGTTTCATAATGTTCAAATAACTGAATCTTCTTGATATTTTGATATCTCTGACTGCCAATAACTTGTAAACATCATCAGCATTCTTCAATCTACTGCGATTTTCAAATTTTGATTCCTCATTAACTATAACCCAAGCCATTTCGCTTAGCAAGTCATGAACCTCAATCCTCTCTACACCTTTGCTGAAGACATAGCTAATCAAGGATTTCTCAATTAAATCCTCTATGTAACTAGTGGGAAAAAATTTAATCACTATAGATTTCAGAACCCCTGGAAGAAAACAAGAAATATCCAAAAATACTCTTTCTTGACAATTTCAAGCTCGTTGTAGCTTCTTCAAAGAACATCAAGAATTTCTAGCTTTGGATTTCTCTCCAATTCAGACAGGAAGCTCTTCCAATAACTTTGTTGCTTATTAAGCAATGCACATCCCAAACAGCTGAAGCGATTCATGAGAATGCAAATGCTTCACCTCATATATATGAGCCCCTACATTCTCAAGTACTCTTCTGTTTCGAGTTGTCACAATAATTCTGCTTCCCGGACCAAAGAGATTTGCAGCCTGCTTATCTCCCAACAACAGTTGTTCCAACTGCGGTACTGTTTCCACATTATCAAGAACAATGAACACCCTAAGACGAGAAAGGCGCTCCCTTCTATAACCAATACCCAGGTTGTGGCCGTTTATGTTATCCTCTGACAATAATGTTGAATAGAGTTCTTGTACCATTCCTTCGATTTCATATTGCTTTTCAAGCTTCTCACTTACGTTCAGAACAAAGTGATGCGTCATTTCTTTTATGAAGGATACAAATGAGTGGTAGCAAGCTGTAGCCAGAGTGGTCTTCCCTATACCACTCATCCCCCAAAGACCAATAATGCGAAAATCATCTACATTCATGGCTAATAGCTGTTCGACCTCGAAAACTCGAGTATCCATGCCAACCAAGTGATCAAACTTCACTCTATGTGAAATCTCTGCGAGTCTTTTCAGAACATCATTAACTATCTCATCTACTAGTTCAGAATCAATCCTAATAACCCCAAAGGGTACAACAAAAGAAAAACGGAAAACAAAAATCCATATGAGAAAAGGGAAGTCATGTTTTGAGAGAAGCAATTACTATTAGTAACAAGGTTGGCTCTTAATTAGGAAAGTAAGGAAGACTTACTTGATTGCCTGTGAAGTATGACCAGCACGTTCAGCGACAGCCTTCAAAGCATCGATCCAGCTCTTTCTATCTTCTGGAGATTTGCTAGCTATGTGTTTCTTTTTCCATATTTGTAGCCTTCAAAGCTTGTTGTGATCGCAGGGAAGCGGGTGATGTGTTTGCCGCAGAGGCGAAGTTCGCCACCCTGCTTGATATTGTAAATTGCACGTGGCAAGTCTGTGACAGGTGTCTCCGTTAAATACAAACGCTCCAACTCTGTTGAATTAATCTCAGGACAACGAGTGACCTTGGGGCAGTTGGACAATCGCACCGTGTTGAGAAACTTTGAGTTGAGTTTGGGTGGAAGGCTCCGTAGATTTGTACAATCTTGGAGGTCCAGTACTACCAGCTTGTCCAGATCTTAAACGTGAGATAGTAGCTCAATCAACCTTTTGCACCCGCTGAGAAGGAGGCGCTCTAGCTTCGGAGACCCTGATAGGTTTGGGACTGCTTCTAAATTTATGCAGCGAGAGAGTTCAAGCCACACTAGATTCACGAGCTGTGACTGCAAAACAACAAAAAGAATTAATTAATTAATTATTAATTAATTAATTATTAATTAATTAATAGTGCAAGTAATCTGCACGGTTCCATACGAAATTAATTAATTAATATATTAAAGGCACAAGTATGCCTGAAGTAATTATACTGTTCCTCGCGAAAATTTCTCCCCAAATTACTGTTCATTAGTGATATAATTAGGTGTGGCCGAACCCACCACAAATTCCAGTCTTCTTTTCCTTCTTCTTGGACCAATTTTTTCAAACTCCGGTCCTCTTTTCCTTCTTCTTGGGCCAATTTTTTATCACTCATTATTTCCCTCCCTTTCTTCTTTTTAACCAACCATTAAATAATTGAAAGTTTAAGCAACCTATTAATTATTTTCACTGTTCATTACGATGTTACGTTTTAGCATGTTTAATTTTAGTAACTCTAATTCCGGGTTACTGTTCACATGCTGCATGATGTACTTGAATCCGCTGTGATAGCGCACACGGTAGCAATTTTTAGGAACCCGAATTCTAATATGTTTGTCCCTTATTATTACCATCCCGTCATTAACTTTCAACGCTTTTCTAAAGTTTTTCATTACTAAGTTACAATGCTTTATATATATACATAATATAGTTTAGCATATTACATAAAGTTTATGGTACAATAGTTGTTTCTTATGCATATATAAACGTATTATTAAACCGCACACTATGAAATATATATGTAGCAATGTTCTATAATAGTTTTTTTTATCTCCTACATCCGATTTTATCATAAGTTAATGATTAGTTAACTTTGATATAACACTTAAATCATACGTTAATTTCTAAAATTGATGTTATTATTAGACCACACACTATAAAATATTTATGTAACAATGTTCTATAATAGTTTCTTTAATCTTCTACATTCAATTTTATTATAAGCTCATGATTAGTTAACTTTCACATAACAGATTAATCATACGTTACTTTCTAAAATCTGATGTTATTATTACCCCCACACACTGTAAAATATCTATGTAACAACATTATATAATAGTTTCTTTATCTCCTATATCCAATTTTATCATAAGCTCATAATTAGTTAATTTTGGCATAATAGTTAAATCATACATTACTTTCTAAAATTTGATTTTATTATTAGACCATACATTATAAAATATCTATAATAGTTTTTGTGTCTCCTACATCCAATCTTACCATAAGCTCATGATTAGTTAACTTTGCAATAACAGTTTAATCATAACAGTTAGTTACTTTTTAAAATTATATTTTGTTATTAGACCATACATTATGAAAGATTTAAATCCTACTTTATTTTCTAAAATTTGATTTTTATTATTAGACCACACACTATAAAATATTTATATATTTATGTAATAATGTTCTATAACAATTTTGTTATCTCCTACATCCAATTTTACCATAAGCTCATGATTAGTTAACTTTGTTTGTCCCTTATTATTACCGTCCCATCATTAACTTTCAAAGATTTTTAAAAATATATTCATTATTAAGTTACAATGCTTTTTATATATACTAATATTAGTTTAGCATAGATAACCATTGTGTGTTACAATGCTTATTATGTATTTACATAATATTAGTTTAGCACATGTAAAAATTGTGGAACCATATTAATTATTATACATTATGTAAAGTTTATGGTACGATAGTTATTTCTTATGCATATATAAACGTATTATTAGACCGCACCCTATAAAATATATATGTAACAATGTTCTATAATTGTTTTTTTTATCTCCTACATCCAATTTTATCATAAGCTCATGAATAGTTAACTTTGACATAACACATAAATCGTACTTTAGTTTCTAAAATTTGATATTATTATTAGACCGCACACTATAAAATATTTATGTAAAAACGTTCTATAATAGTTATTTATTTACTTTTTACATTCAATTTTATCATAAGCTCGTGATTAGTTAACTTTGACATAACAGATTAATCATTCGTTACTTTCTAAAATTTAATTTTATTAGTATGTCGCACACTATAAAATATTTATGTACGTTCTATAATAAAATTTAATCTCATGCATCCAATTTTATGATAGCTCATGATTAGTTAACTTTGACATATTAGTTTCATCATACGTCACTTAGTAAAGTTTGATTTTATTATTTAAACCACACTATATAATTTTTATGTAATAACGTTCTATAACAGTTTTTTATCTCATACATCCAATATTACTATAAGCTCATGATTAGTTAACTTTCACATAATAGTTTAATCATATGTTACTTTCTAAAATGTGATGTTATTATTACACCACACACTATAAAATATCTATGTAATAACATTATGTAATAATTTTTATTCTCCTACATCCATTTTTACCATAAACTCATGATTAGTTAACTTTGACATAACAGTTAGTTAACTTTGCAATAACAGTTTAATCATATATTACTTTTTAAAATTTTATTTTGTCATTAAACCACACTCTATGAAAGATTTTAATCATACTCTCCACGGCTCCACTATAGACTTGCTCCAAATCTTCCCGGAACTTGCTCCAAAACCCTCATTTACGTATTAGAAAACATTACTAGTGATGTTTATACTGCAAAATGTCCTGAGATAGTATGAGTCTCGACTAAAGCACTCCAGACCCTTTTGAATAAAATATCTTGTGAGATACTATCATTCATTGGAATAAACTACCAAGGTAATTTGGAAAGACCTCATCTACTGGGTTTGAACTCCAGTAGAGAGTAATGAACTGATTGACTCTCATGCTAATGATCCACTACTTTCAATTCAGGTTGCTCTATTGACCTATTCAGAGACTATCATTCTAGGTCAAAGCATGAATCATACAAACGTGATCAAGATTCATATAACTCTGATTAATGCCTCAACTGAACATATAATAATCAAATGCCACGGAAATAGGTTCATACAATTGTTCCTAATAGAGATCAGGTTCTTCGTACCTAAGTGGAAGAAGAGTTTACTCTATGGAGAGAGAGGAAGGAATACAAGGCTAGAGATGGTCATCATCGTGCAGATGAGTGAAATGTTTTGGGACTCCAGATAGGCGATTGGTACTCCTAGAGGAAGGAATCAAGCTTCAATTTTCGTTAGTGGCTCAAATCAGCTCCCCTAGTGGCTCACATAAGGGTTTTCATTCCTAGCATGAATCGTGCAAAGTCCACCTATATAGAACCTCGAAGGAGCTCAAAAGAGACAATATCCAGGACACAAGGATGACTAACAAAAGTTTAGACACGAAGAAAGGATGAGGGGTCATTCTATCAATCACCATTAAGCTCACAAGCAACAAGCTCCTAACACATGAACGACCCCCAAAGTCACACGACTTAAAGGGGTTGACTAGGGAATAAAATGTTTTGGGACAATCAACTTTTGGGCGTGGACTAATCCTATGCCTCCATCATACTCACTAGTGACAACGGTGAATGTTACACACCATGGAGAGAGGGATCTATCACGCATGAAAAAGATGATTGACACAAAACTCACATGGATACCTAGCCACCCATGGGTAGTTTATTACAACCCTAATGCATTCTCAGTCATCATAATAGGATGCACTCGATTACATGCAACAATTCAAGATCGATGCCAAATAAGCACGAGATTCACCCACCAACTGACCATTTTGATCATGCATTGCTTGGAGCCCTCAAATTTTTGCATATATCAAGGCTCCAAGCATTCATCACACACACAAGCATAGTAATAAACTACCCCCCCCCCCCCCCCCCGCCGGGCCCCACTTATTGCTCAATATTTCCCTCAATGGCGTAAAATAAGAGGTAGAACGATGTTACCGCATGCCTTGGTGAAAGTTGGAGAATTTCCCGAGGTAGGATGTTTGAGCTTCAAGGGAGAAACAAAGTAAAATACTAACACAAGCACATTCTCACTCGAGGCGAGGTTATTGCACATAAAAAAATTTCAGAATACTATTCAAAATAAAGAACTCACAAGGTACTAGTTCACACACTAATTAAGGAGAAAATAAAAAGAAAAAGAGTTCAGAGTTTGCAAGTGGAGAAGTGGTGCGAAAGAAATCGGCTCCGCCACATCTCTCCCTCGATGGCTACCTCGTCATGGCAAGCTCACTCCTCGTCATCCGAGGGAATGCCCTAGCGTTGAGCCATCCTCTCTATGAGATCGGCGGTCCGGTCGAGTCGAGCCGTGACTCCCACATAATGTGCATCGTGGTGATCCATTCTCTCCTCGAGGTGGGGTCCGGGTCCGGAGGTAGAGGGTCTGGCCCCTGATGATGATGATTCAGCTAATGATGGTTGTGCTACAGAGCGCCGGCGGCGTCCGGGAGCTCTGGTGGGTGGCTGCTCTTGGGGAGGAACCTCTAGATCAGACTGCCCTGGTGTATGGTTGACCTAGGGTTGCAAAGCTATTGAGGGTCAAAGGCCTTGGAGGAACTCGATCCCTCTCTCCCCTTGAAGCACCAGCATCATGTTTTAAAGGGTCTCCACCAGAAACTACTCCGTCCGGCCGATGATAGAACATCGGGTCACATGCACCCCAAAGTGTCGGGCCAGTCTGGTGATGATGCTCCCCTAGTGCATCATGTTCAGTCGGTCCCAACCCTCACATCGAGTGAAGGTGGTAGCAACCACGACTCCCAAATGGAGCGGATCAGCTGGCCGGTTCAGGGGATGGAGCGCTATCAACCCTGTATTCGTGATCAAGTGCCTGCCAACAGTCTGGGGATGACAGACCTCGTGAGGAGGGTGTGCAGGATCCTCAACGGTGTCCTGAGCCTCACAGCATTGGTTTTGGAGCCCTCAAACTCGTCCCCCTAATGCTCGATGCGGCATATGGCGTGGAAGGTTGCCTGGTAGTGGAAGTCGGCAGTGTACTGCCTCTCTGTTAACGTCATGTGGGTGGGGTCAAGCTCCATGACTTGAGCAAAGACATCGTAGGTTAGCACCCTCGGCTGACCTCCCAGCATGAACTCCACGTAGGGTCTACTCCTCTTACT